TGGTGCTTGCCTTTGTTTTCAGTAGATAGGAAAAACATTTATAAAGGAAAATCTCCAAAACTCAAGCTATAATCTACCTTCTTTTAAAGACCTTTAATATCTTTTATTTACAGGAGGAACCCAAATGACTGATAAATATACAAAAAGAAAAAATACATAAAAATACATGTAACTGGGGCGCCTGGGTGGCTCAGTCGGTTAGGCGTCTGCCTTCAGCTCAGGTCATGATCCCAGGGTCCTGGGATCGAGCCCGCATCGGGCTCCTGGCTCAGTGGAGAGTCTGCTTCTCCCTCTGCCCCTCCCCCTGCTTGTGCGCTTGCTTTCTCACTCTCTCTCTGTCAAATAAATAAATAAAATCTTAAAAAAAAAAATACATGTAACTTCAGTAGTAAACAAGAAAATGTAAACTAAAGCAAGATAATTTTCACCCATCAGACTGGTCAAAATGGAATTATTAGTAATATCTAATATGGTCTGGGTGTGGGGAAATAGATTTTCTTACACACTGTGGGTATAAATATACACTGGTACAGCATTTTTGGAATACAGTTTGGCAGAATCAGTCAAAATCTAAAGTGAAGCATACCTGGGGCACCTGGGTGGCTCAATGGGTTAAGCGTCTGACTCTTGGTTTTGGCTCACGTCCTGATCTCCGGTCATGAGATCGAGCCCTGTGTTGGGCTCCGTGCGTAGCAGGAGTCTGCTTGGATATTCTCTTCCTCTGCCCCTTCCCCTACTTGTGCTCTCTCTCTAAAATAAATAAATAAATCTTCAAAAAATAAAAATAAAGCATGCCTGGGTGGTTCAGTCAGTTGAGCTGCCTTTGGCTCAGGTCGTGATCTAGGGGTCCTGGGATGGAGCCCCACCTTGGGCTCCCTGCTCAGTGGGGAGTCTGCTTCTCCCTCTACCCTTCCTCCCTGGTCGTGATCTCTCTCCCTCCCACACTCAAATAAATGAATAAAGTCTTTAAAAATAATTAAAATAATTAAAATAAAGCATAACTTTTGCCGCTTCAACTGTCCATCTCTGGTGAGCATTGTGATTTTTTTCTCCAGCATCCTTTCCACATATATTTCCCTAGCTTTGTAGAAGCCAGGTGGTACCACAGGTAAACTTGATTGGCCTAAACCAATCAGCACCATCCTGTTTCCTTTTGCTCCCATTATTAATTCCAACAAAGGAATTTAACAAAGGCCCAAGCCAATAAGTACATACCATTCCCTTGGCTACAGTGCTTGATTCACAGTGAGCAATATCCAAATTCAGCTTAGGATGAAGTGAAGTTTTGTCTGATGGCTAGAGAAACACACGTCCTCCTCCATAAGTGAATGAAGAAGCACGTGGCTCCAGGAGTCAAATCTCCCAAACTGTATATTATCTAAACAAAAATTTAAAAATTCATTCCAGATCTAAAGAATCATACTCCTGTATTTAACAAACACATATGTCTCTACCATTTATTGAGTGACGCTGCGCACGTTCCTTAAACCTTCTAAGCCAAGTACCTTGCCTATAAAATATGATTTACATTCTTTCCTTTGTAGGATTATTATTACTATTGTCACAAAGAAATCACTGTGTTAGGGGCACCTGGATGGCTCAGACAGAAAAGCATGTGACTCCTGATCTTGGGGTTGTGAGTTTGAGCCCTATGTTGAGTGTAGAGATTACTTAAAGAAGGGGTGGGAGGAGAGGAGGGAGGAGGAGGAGGAGGAAGGAGGAGGAGGAGGAAGGAGAAGAAATCAATGTGTGAGATGGTGTGGAACTGAAATAGATAAATAACTTATGATTCCCAATCTTTAGAGACACAGACAATTTAGTGGGGGTGGTGACACTGGATTATTGTTCTTGCCCATGTGACTTCAGAATCAGGGCCTGACTCTTCTGGAGGGTCTAGGAACAACTTAATTAACAGCTTTTCTACTAAAAAATATATATAGTGGGGGCAGGAGGAGGACAGATAGTAGGTATACATGTAAGCAAAAGGAATGATGATCCAAGGAAGAGGCTAAAAACACGTTGGGGAGGGAAGTGGCCAATTAGAACACTATTGTCATGGGGTGGAGGGAGAGTTTTCAATTCTAGCAGCTACATTAATAGAGATCATTTTCTAGATCTAGAGACATGGAGATAGCCAAATGGAAATTAACTGACAAAAAAACCTATGCTCTTGACTGATAGGAGATCCTCCCATGAACTAGGGACAGAAAAACATGCTGAATTAAGATATTTTTGTTTCATTTCCCTTATTCTTTCTTATTTTAATTCTTGTTAACCAATAATACATTTTCTAAAATTTTGCTAGAACCTTCCTCACTTCTACAGGAGATGACCCTGCATGCCAAAGTAGAACATAAAGGATTGAATGAGACTATGCAATGGGGGGAAAATAAAATTTCACTGAAAGCAAAAGAAAATGACATTTTGTGGATGGGCTGGTAGGGAAAATTTTCTCAGTGTTTATACATTCAACATTAGATATCCACAAACATCGATAAACACAAAGCTCTAAATCACAAGTTACTTACAAGTGTTGGGGCGCCTGGGTGGCTCAGTCGTTAAGCGCCTGCCTTCGGCTCAGGTCATGATCCCAGCGTTCTGGGATAGAGCCCCGCATCGGGCTCCCCGCTCGGCAGGAAGCCTTCCACTCCCCCTGCCTGTGCTCCTCTCTCACTGTGTCTCTCTCTGTCAAATAAATAGATAAAATCTAAAAAAAAACAAGTGCTGACAAGTGATGTCAAGGTTTGTGGTAAGATACTTCTCCAAAGGACATGTTAAGAAACAAAATGTATGTTAATTACAGTTTAAATTTTTCTCATGTCTGAAGCTATCAAGAGGAAAAATAAGGCCCTCAAAAAGCAGTGAATGAAAAACATAATTTTTCATTCACATAGAGGAGTGTTAAGAGTCCATTACTAATGTAAAAACACAACACAAAACAATAAAGAAAAATCCATTTAGTCCAATTAATGAGGACCAGCCTTAAAGCCTTAGGAGCAGTGACCCTGCTGTTTCTAATTCCCTGCCAGTGGTTCATTTATATTGAGGAGGGCTTAGAAAACAAGTCAATCACATTTTTCAGTCTAGTCTGATTCAGAGTTCACTACAGATTGAGACTTCTACTGTCGCACAACTCAGATAAAAGAACCAATAATGAGCAGCGCCGGGGTGGCTCAGTCATTAAGCGTCTGTCTTCAGCTCAGGTCGTGGTCCCGGGGTCCTGGGACCGAGTCCCACATCGGGCTCCCTGCTCCGAGGGAAGCCTGCTTCTCCCTCTCCCAGTCCCCCTGCTCATGTTCCCTCTCTCACTGTGTGTCTCTCTCTGTCAAATAAATAAAATCTTTAAAAAAAAAAAAAAAAGAACCAATAATGAGAGAGTCACATAAGGAAACCCATCTTCTTTGTTTCCATTTCAATAGGAAGTCAGCTATTCCAAACAAGCAAGGGATTCTCAATCAGGAGACCCAAGTTCTAAGCCTCAGTCTGTCACAACTTTGACCAGGTAGTCTTTACAAGACATGTTTCTTTATGACCAGGCTGCTTGTATCATGTGCTGTACAGGAAAATTAACTCAGCAACACCCCCAAAACAAATAATCTGATTAAAATGAGAAGACATGAATAGACATTTCTCCAAAGAAGACATCCAGATGGCCAACAGACACATGAAAAGATACTCAACATCACTCATCATCAGGGAAATGCAAATCAAAACTACAACAAGATATCACCTCAAACATATCAGCAAGGATATGGAGAAGGAACCCTCATGCACTGTTGGTGGGAATGCAAACTGATGTAGCCACTGTGGAAAACAGTATGAAGTTTCCTCAGAAAATTAAACCCAGAACTACCATATGATCCAGTAATTCCACTACTGGATAGTGGAATACAAATATACTAATTGTATTGAATACAATACAAAGAATACAAAAATACTAATTCAAAAAGATACATGCGCCCCTTTGTTTATAGCAGCATTATTTACAATAGCCAAATTATGGAAGAAGCACAAGTGTCCATCTATAGATGAATGGGTAAAGAAGTGGTATATATATATACAAATGGAATATTATTCAGCCATTAAAAAGAATGAAATCTTGCCATTTGCAACAACATGAATGGATCTAGAGAGTAGCATTAGCTAAGAGAAATAAGCCAGTCAGAGACAAATACCATATGATTTCACTCATGTGGAATTTAAGAAACAAAACAAACAAAGGGGAAAAAAAGACAAGCCAAAAAACCCCCCTTTTTTTTTAAAGATTTTTTATTTATTTATTTGAGAGAGCGAGAATGAGAGAGAGAGAGAGAGCATATGAGAGGGAGGAGGGTCAGAGGGAGAAGCAGACTCCCTGCTGAGCAGGAAGCCCGATGCGGGACTCGATCCCGGGACTCCAGGATCATGACCTGAGCCGAAGGCAGTCGCTTAACCAACTGAGCTACCCAGGCGCCCAAAACCCCTTTTTTTTTAAAGGTTTTATTTATTTATTTGTTAGAGAGAGAGAGAGAGAACAGGTGGGAGGAGGGGCAGGAGAGGGTGAAGTAGACTTCCCACTAAGCAGGGAGCCCGATATGGGGCTCGATCCCAGGATCCCGAGATCATGACCTGAGCCGAAAGCAGACGCTTAACCGAATGAGCCACCCTGGTGCCTCAAAACAGACCCTTAAATAGAGAGCAAATAGAGGGTTACCAGAGGGGAGGTAGGTGGGGGGATGGGAGAAATAGGTGACGGGGATTAAGAGTACACTTACCATGTACTGAGTAATGTATAGAATTGTTGAATCACTATATTGTACACCTGAAACTAACATAACACTATGTTAACTATACTGGAATTAAAATTAAAAACTTAATTTAAAAAAAGACAACTTGCCACCCCTGTATCCAGAGTTTCCAAAAAAGAATTAACAGATTATTTCAAATTTATTTGTTGAATTCCATACAATGTTGTATACATTATTTGTATGCTCTTAAATAAATGCAAATAAAACCATCTGTGGAGCTCAGTAAGATATAATATTTATTAATTGTAAAACATACATCCACACAGCAAGCCCATTTCTCTCCACCAGGACATACACATATTTCCTATTAGGTTTAATTGCATCCTTGTAAGGAGAGCAAAGTAATCTTAAACTGAAAGAATTATTTTTGGTTCAGTATCTATAGCTCCAGTTGGCAAAATCTTCTTTTTCAAGTAGTTCTGCCAAGGTTCTAACCACATATGATCCTCCAGTCTCAGCTTGCACTTACAGTAAGTTATATTTAGTTCCTTAATTCTAAAGTTCACAAACTGTTTTCATAGACAAAAGATACCAAAAGCAAATATAGAAATGAAAAGGTAATTGATCTTAGATCCTCAGACATTGAGGTGATATGGTCATACTGATCTTTAAATAAAAATAACATCAAAATAAGCTGGAAAGCCACTTGGCTTTTAAGTATTGTCTGCTTCCCACACTGTACAGTCTGTTGGCAATACTTTTTAAAGTAAAAATAAAACAATATCTCAGTGTGAAGCCTATTCATGCCTACACATTAATTTTGTCTAGCATGTTAGTCATACCAATCTAGTCAAACACCTGGTCAGAGGTTAAAAATAGAGCTTCAAAATCAAGACCGAATTTTAATTGAACCACCTATAGACTTCTACTTTGGAATCCCTCAATTTGCCTCCTCCTGAATGTCCCGCTCTTCTGAGGACCAAGTATCTAAAGTCAGAATTTCAATATTAAGCTCTGCAGAGTAATAGAGAAAAGTGCTAGTTAAATTCTTGGGCTAAGTACTAATCAGTGCCTTTTGGAAAAAAACAACACATTGTTAACTGGTTAAGGCAAAAATCCCACACAAATTCTGGTCCCCTTAACAACCATTCTCTAAAACAATAAATGCCAAGTATGACCAGCACACTAGAAATCAAAAACCTAGAGCCAAACTGGCTTAAGCTTCCCACCTGAAAGTCGTGGACTGGGGCACGAGAAAAGATGTGTGGACTGTAGGTAGACAGTTTTGCCTGTTGATGAAGAACTTTCGGGAAGGCCTAAGTGTTTGAGGAAACGAGAACACGGGAACACCTCTGGGTGCTGTCTGCTATCACCTTCAAACTATCAGCAGACAGGAGTGAAGTCCATAACAGAGGACATTTCCTTCCCAAAGCCTCTTCAGGGTGGAGTTCAACAGTAATTGGCCAAGAGAAAAGTAATCAGTCCAAGTCGGTCGGTAAGCCAGCTTCCCATCTCCTAATTCTGTATGTATATACTTCCTTTCTCAATGACAAGCATAGTCCTCAACTCGAAAGATTACCTACAAAATTCTCCTTTACCATTCTTATTTCAATCCTGTTCCTGCATGCAGGAACACTGGCACCAGAATCTTACAATAAAGAGGACTATCTAAGGTCGGAGTCACACTAAATCATTAGACATAAAAGGTTTCTTTGAGAAATTTGCATTAGTGTGGTTCTTAGAAAATCAGCAGAGAGGTCAGATTCCCATAATATAATGATCAAACATCAACAATAATCACAGAAACCAAAGACATACGTCTATCTATAGAGAGCAATTACATATCTCCTTAAAGCCTAGAAACAAGCAAGCTTTTTAAATGTATATTTATAGTTAAATTAGGGTAAAAGAAACATTTTCTCTTACTGATCCTAATTTTTTCATTTCTTCAACAGATCCTAGTTGTTATCACCTCCTCCACCAAACCCATTCCTAAATAAATGTACACGTTTATACAGATAACACAGAAAGTTCATATAACATGACAATTATAATGTTTCTTTGTCCCTTTTTAAACTCATTTTTAATCTTGGGTAATTTTAAATGCACAATCTACTAATAGTAAATACACATTCATGTAACAAGAACCATATCACTATTCTTCCATCGGATATATCTTGAAATAGCAACAGTGGACTTGAAAGGTGACAGGATATCAGTCGGGGAGGAGCTTCCTGGGAAACACTTGGAAGTCTTTGTCTTTTTTCTTCTGCAAGGCCTTTCTCAGAAAATGCAGGCAGTTCCGAAGTAAAGGACAAACCCACGAATCTCTCTTTGTAGGATATCAGCACTTTTGTGGCAAGACGATGTCATCTCAAGGGCTAAAGCAGCATCTAAAATCACAGGGGGACATATGCCCAAATGGTCTACATAAAATCTTCCTAGAAATGGATTTCTATCTCACTTGCTTCCTCACATTGAATATATTTGTAATATTGTAAGTATTACACAGTCTAAGAAAACTTTAGACCATATATATCAAAAACAAGATTTTAAAGGCAATCTTTAGGACAATTATCAACCGAAACTGTCATGTATAGCATACCATCTCCTTGTATGTAAATAATGACTAATTTTGACAACATAGATCCAAGTTTCATAGGGGCTACAGTTTATAGAGTATGTGTAATGAGTGCATTGCAAAGACTTCTCCCAGGGCCTGGGAAGGGACCCATACCAGCGAGGAACTGAAACTTAAGACTTGTTCACTTCACAGTAAATTCACATATGATGTCACAGACGTTCCAAAGGCTTTGTGGAGGTTAACAGATTAATTCCAACAACACATTTATGAGAATGTGGGATTTTATTATCATCACATTTTACAGAGTTAATAAGATACTAAACATTGGATGACTTGTCACATAGTAAATTACCACTCAAAAGGTCCGATTTTTGTTTTTCGGTTTTTTAGTACTAAACAGTTATACTTAAAACGAAGGCAATCCTGTTACCATTTAAAATTGACATTTAATTTTTCAAATCACTGTTGGTGTCTAGTCACTTAAGTTATTAATTTATTCTGCTTTCTTTAAAAAAACATGTGTGACATGTGTTTATCCTGCGAGTAGGTCCACAGTGGGGTGGGAAAGTGTTCCAGTGGGCCCTCTTTTCACTGTGGTGACACATGGTAAAGCCTGGAGCTTGCGGGGCCCTTTTTACTGTGGTGTTGGAGCAGGACAGTGATAAAGTCCATTAGAAGCAAAAAATAAAAATAAATAAAAGGAAGGCAATCATCTAGTATAGTGCTGATCCTTCTTTATTGGGAAAAAGATTACCAAGCAATCATTTTGTCTTTCTTGCTTTAAAAGCCCTAAGGGACAAATGACTGATAATGGAGATAAGTATATATCCTTCCACAGCACTTGTCACTGTAAATTCACATTACTGTAGCCAATAAAATACAGGAGATTAGTTTAAGAGCAAGAGATGCAAGCTCTATGAAAAGGGATTTCATCCCAGAGACAAATGCCACTTCTGGTTTTTTTTAAGTGGCACATCTCTTTCTCTATCAGGAGTTCTCATGGAATCAATCACTGGAGAATGCTTTAGCTGCAGAATTTGAACTTCCGCAAGCTATAAAATATTTCCCATGGAGGGTTACTTTGCTTTAAGTATGAGAAACCAGACATACCCAGTTCAGAACCAAAATGACTCTCAGTGCTGGTGTTCCATTGGACGCAAATCAGCCTCTGAATCATCTGACAGGGGAGATCCTGATACCTATAAGTTAATAATCAAGCATTACAGATTCTCAATAATTATGAAAGTCCCAATCCTCCCCAAATCCAAATTCTTGTTGTTCAAATATCAGATGTTTAGAATTAACTACTCATAGCTCAAGTTGTTGGCACAGAAGAGGATGATGAAGTAAAGAGATGTTATTCTTTGACCTCTTTGTTGATACATATGTTACAAGATACTTCTGACGTGCAGAGGTAGTACAAACCTGCTGCAACCCATCTCTCCTACTTACCGAACAAATAAAACCCTTTAAGAAAAATATAAAAAACAACTGAAGATTAAGGAGAGGAGTCAAAAGTTGGCAATGTGGTCCTTCACATGGGGGTCAGTTTCCAATTTTGTCTGTTTTTCACTCCTATGCCTTTGCCCAAAAAGCAGGCCCTAGTCTCAGAGTAATGAAGAAGTACAAGAGGCCAAAAGTCTGAAAGAAACTCCCTTGTTATCCCAGAGAAACCAGGAAAAAGGGTCCCTGCAAGCCAGGAAGTATGGGGGGAGAGGGATGGTCCTGGAGGGAAGAGAATTAGAGGAGGGACCCTCTAATTCTGTGTATAGACCCACAGGAGTCTCAGCCCAGTTCCTGAAGCATGCATGCATGGGATAGCCCCACCAGCACAGCAAAGGCTTGGGAGGACTGAACTGAGATTTGAATTACCTTCACAAGTCTCTAGCTAACCCCAGAGCCACATAAACACAGGACAGATGCAAACTAGGATATCAAAGACTTAGAGAACTGAGGTTTGAAACACTTCTTACAGGAGATAAGGCAGAATTTATAGGGTGAACAAAACTTGGATGACTGCCTGCTAAAACAAAAATTTCAATATTCTCCAGAAGATTATAAATGATTAGAACAGGACCCAGAGACTACACAACATAACATTCACGGTTTCCAAGACAGAATCAAAATTATTGGCCATAAAAAGATCCAGCGGGGCACCAGGGTAGCTCAGTCGGTTAAGCATCTGCCCTCGGCTCAGGTCATGATCCCAGGGCTCGGGGATCAAGCCATTCGTCGGGCTCCCTGCTAAGCCAGGAGCCTGCTTCTCTCTCTCCCTCTGCCTGCTGCTCCCCCTGCTTGTGCTTTCTCTCTCTGTGTGTAAAATAAATAAATAAAATCTTAAAAAAAAAAAAAAAAAAGATCCAGGAATGTGTGATCAATTCTCAAGGGAAAAGGCAATCAACAGATACCAATCCTGAAATGGCCCAGATGTTGGGACTTTATAAACTTAGATAAGTTATATAGATAGATAGGGAGAGAGAGAGAGAGAGACTTTAAAGAAGTAATATAACTATGTTACATGAGGTAAAGGAAAACAAACTTGAAATGAATGAAGAAACAGGAATTCCTAGCAGAGAAATACAAGCCCAAAAAAAGAACCAAGTAGACTTTTAGGACTTAAAAATATAGTATCTGAAATTTTAAAACCTCTCTGGACGGGCTTAAATAGCAGAATGAAAATGACAAAGTGAAGAGTCAAAGAACTTGAAGATAAATCAATAGAAACTACCCAATCTGAACAGCAGAGATTAAAAAAAAAAAAAAAAAAGATGAAGAAAAGCAGAGTCTCAGGAACCTGTAGAAAATATCAAAAGGTCTCATATCTATGTCATTGGACTCTCAGAAAAAAAAGAGACAGAAAGATTATGGCACAAAAAAATATTTGAAGAAATAATGACCAAAAACTTCCCAAATTTGGTAAAAGAGGTAAGTTTATAAATCAAGAAGCTCAGCAAATGCCAAACAGTATACATTCAACGAAAACTATGCTTAGATGCATCATATCCAAGCTAATGAACACAAAAAGATAAAGATAAAATCTTGAAAACAGCTAGACAAAAATGAAACATTACATACAGGTGAAAAATTCAAATGCCTAAAAATGTCCCACCAGAAATCAGAGAGATCATAAGATAAAGGAATGATGTCTCGTAGTCCTGGAAGAAAAATTTTTAAAAAGCAACCTACCAACTCAAATTCTTTATCCATTGAAAATATATTTAAGGAATGAAGGCAAAATAAAGTTATTATCAAATGAAGTAAAACTAAAAGAGTTTGTCACTCATCAGACCTGCTCTGGAAGGAATGCTAAAGAAAGTTTTTCAAGCTGAAGAAAAATGATACCAGAAAACAAAACTGTAATCTTTAAGAAAGAAGGTAAGAACAACAGAAACGGTAAGTGGTTAGGTAAATACAGAAGACTACTTTTCTCCCTTAATTGCTTAAAATATTTATGACTGTTTACAGCAAAATGTATGACCTAGTATAGTTTTCAATGTATGTAAATAAGAGACATATAATTCTAACATAAAGTCCAGGTTGAAGTAAAAGGAAATATGTTTGCAAGTTTTCTACATTTTATAAGTGGTACAATATTTACCCGAAGTACACTGTGAAAGATTAGTTATGTACACTGCAAAACCTAAAGCAATCACTAAAAAAAATCATACCAAGAAATATCCCCAAAAAGCCAATACTAAAAATATTCAAATACAAAAGGAGACTGGAAAGGGAAAACAAAGGAACAAACAAAAAAACAAATAATATAAAGAGCTAGATCTTATATCTATATAAGATATATATTATATATATTGTATCTATATAATATATAGACCTAGATCCAGATATATCAGTAATCACATTAAATGTTAATGGCCTAAGTATTCACTAGCAGGCAGAATTCTGAAGCTATCCCCCTAAGATTCCTGCCCCTGCTTAGTCAATCAAACTAATTTAGCTCCTGCTATGAAGCAGCTTTGCACAAGGAATTAATGTTACTAATAAGCTGACCCTCAGATAGAAAGATTATCCTGGCAGGCCCAGGATAGGCCTGGCAAACCAATCACGGGTACTCTTAAAAGCAGAAGAGTAAGTCAGAGATGAGACAGAAGGGGAGGCAAGAGAGGATCAAAGAGTCAGAAGGACTTGACCACTATTTCTAGCTTTGTAGATGGGAGAAGTAGGCCCCAAGGCAAGGAATGTGGGTAGTCTCTAGAAGCTGACAACAACCCCCAAGGGTCAGCCAGCAAAGAAACAGGGACCTCAGTCCCACAACCTCATGGAACTAAATTCTGCCAACAATCTGAGTGGGCCTGGAAATAGATTCTCCCCTAGAGCCTCCAGAAAGAAATGCAGCCCTGCTGACATCTTGATTTCGACCTGTGAGACCCAAGGAGAGAAGCAGCTATGCCCGGGCTTCTGACCCACGGAAACTGTGAGATAGGAAGTATTTTAAGTTGGTAGCAGTATATTAGCAGCAAGAGAACACAAATACACATTTCAATTAAAAGAACTGAAGTGACAGAATGGATACAAAAGAAAGACCCTACTTACAGGAAACACTGTAAATTTTCAAAACAGACTATATGAAAGTAAAAAGATATACCATGGAAACAAATAAGTATAAGTAGGCTGGAGTGGCTATCTTAATCTCAGATAAAATTAACTTCATGGCACAGCGCACTACAAGAGATAAAGTGAGACATTTCATAATGATAAAAGGAACAGTGTATCAGGAAGACAAAAACAATTATAAGTGTATATGTACCTAATAATAGAGATTTAAAATACATGAAACAAAAATAAACAGATATAAGAGAAAAATAAGTAATTCCACAGTCAGTAAAAGATTTTGACAGCACTCTTTCAGAAACTGATAGGACCCAACAAACAAAAAAATCATTAAGGACACAGAAGATCTGAAGAACACTATTACCACCTTAATCTAATTTCACATTTATAGTAGGGTATATCTGACAACTGAAGAATATATACATTATTTTCAAGGGAACAGGTTCATTCACCAAGATAGGCCATATGCAGGGCGCCTGGGTGGCTCAGATGGTTAAGCGTCTGCCTTCGGCTCAGGTCATGATCTCAGAGTTCTGGGATCGAGTCCCACATCGGGCTCCCTGCTCGCAGGGAGTCTGCTTCTCCCTCTGACCCTACCCCCTCTCATGTACTCTCTCTCATTCTCGCTCTCTCAAATGAATAAATAAATCTTTAAAAAAAAAAAAAAAGATAGGCCATATGCTGGGCCATAAAACATATCTCAGTGAATCAAAAACAATCAAAATCATACACAGTATATTCCCTGACCACATGGAATTAAATTACAAATCAATAATAATAAAATACTAGGGAAACCTCAAATATCTAACTATAAGACAACACATTTCTAAATAATTCCTGGGTTAAACAAGAAATTACAAGGGAACTAAGAAAATGTTTGGACTGAGTATAATGAAAATACAACATATCAAAATTTGTGGGATGAAGCTTCACCACTGCTAAAAAAAAAACGTGTAGGGCGCCTGGGTG